ATATTTCAATACAAAACTCACATCTGCGTACAATTTCCATTATTCCTTCTGCATCTTGTATTGCTTGTTCTCATATCAGCTCGAATTAATGTACTTCTAAACAATTTTTCTGTTTACATTCAATATATTGCGAAGAGGCTAACTTACGATATCGAACACTCGTGTATTTGAAAGTTAATTTTATACCGAAAGGATTAATTCTAAGACCTACAATGAGGTGATCAAATATCAGAGCCACATTACGAAAAATATGTTTTCTTGTGTTTGTATGAAAATAAAATTACAAATATCAAGGTTTTCACACAGGATAATTTTGAATTAACAAAGTTCCCCTAAAAACATACACAATAATTACACTTAGCGTATGTAATTATAAAAAATACAGTTAAAGTCGTAAAATCTGCAATTTATGGAGGTGGCTGTAATACGTTGATTAGATATTTTTTACTTCTTTCCCGGAGTACTATAAATAGGGATGAACCGATCCAAGTAAATACAGGCAAGTAATCGATACTTTCGTTTCAATACCGAGTATTTTTAGTATCGATACTTTCGGTTGCGATGTAGACTCGGTATCGAAAAAATGTACTCGTATCAAATGGAGCGAGTAATGGATATGAAAGCTAATGAATGTGAAGGTGGTTGTTGTCCAGTTATATTACTTTGTTAATAAATGTTCGTTAATAAAATACATTTTCGTTAAAATGGGAGATGGACAAATTCATTATCTAGATAAAGAATTTCGAATAACGAATAAAAGATAAAAAAGTACCTTATCATTTTTAAACGTTTAAACGTGGAAATTGCAATTTTTATAAAAAAATAATACTTCTTCCTGGAAAACTCGATATTTGGTAAACAATTATTTAATCTCATTAACTGTTTAAAGCTCAGGATGCCGTCCTTAGATACTGCAACTTTTCACTATGTATTATTCGAATATTCTGCTCAACTCTAGTTAAAATATATCATATTAATAAAAAAAAGACTTTGTATTCATTTTCTTTCAATACAAATAGGTATCGATATTTTTAATGCGATACTTATTTTTGATACAAGTTATGAGTAAAAGTATCGATACCTTACCGGTTTATCCCTAACTATAAACCCCTAAAAGTCTTAAACCCTCTCTATTCATCACCCTATATATTACTTTGTCTTTTACTAACGCGACGATTCTTTTTCACCAACCCGATACATTCCCGTCGTCTGGAATACTGTTTCCTTGAAAACCTTCAAATAATAACCACCGCTTTGTCATCGAACAACGACATTTTCTCCCCCCTCAGACAATGGTCTCGAGTGTCGCTGTCCTACGCTTTGACATCCTCCTTTTTAACCGGCAACGTCGCGTCTGCAAGTTAATTCCGCTTCTAGATGCAGATTGCAGATGCGACGGAAGGTTAATCCATGGACACTCAATTTTATATGCATTTCATAATGCTGTCTCTTTTTTCTACCCTTTCTCCTTTCCTCCCTTTCTTTCTCTCTCTCTCTTCCTCTCTGGCGTTAATTACAGTCGTCGCGCTTAACCAGACGTATTTCATACACCGACATATTTCATACGATGATTCCCTCTCTTCGTTTGCATACCAGAAAATAAACAAAATAACCGCGCATAATTATCTTTATCGAGTAACATTCCCTGTTCCCATGTACTGCGAGGGGTGGCGAAAGAATGAGCCTGAATAGCGTTTCGTTTCGTCTCGTTTGCGCGAACGTACGCGAAACAATGGTTCGTTCTTACGCTTTTGGCCTATTGGAGTTGTTGCTCAGCCGTGTTTACCGACGTATAAACGTGGTGAAAATGTTCGAATGCGGCCCTGTTTCATGGAGACATCGATCGAAAGACCATGGGCGGAAAAGCTTGTGGGCAAAGCGGGTTGGACGAAGTAAAAAGGGACGTGTGGCGGTTCGGGACGGAGCACGACGGTTCCGATGTATCACGGTTCTGTCCCGTTTTGAATAATATCAACGACACCTCGACCGTATAACGTGTTTTTCACTTCAATTCCAACATGTGAAACGTTGCCTCGCGAGGCGATGTAAGTCACGCGTTCTGTTAACACTGTACGCGACAGACTGTCACGAAACTCTGCGCCCTTTCAATGAATTACTCGTGTTTCCTTAACACGGTAAGTGCCGTGTCGGTCATAGGTGATGAATTACTGTGAAATGTAGAAAATAATCCTGGGTTGACCACGAAGTAATTTCTCATTTCCGCAGTAAAGGATTTTTTTTTTGTTTTTCTATGCAAAACACTGCTCCTAACCAGTAAAATATAATACATATTCTGGAAGCTGACATTTCAACACATTATTCAAAATAGAAACTTTCACGATCGCGTTAGACTTTCTTGAATTAACCTTGTTTTGAAAATGAGTGACGAAAAGGTGTACTTTCGAGTAATTATGCTTTTTTATTTCTGAAAAAAAAAACGATGTACAAAAAAAACATAAAATGATTTGCCATACATGTTGATGGTGCTGTAGCGAACGGAAATAAGAAAAAGCATAATTGCTAGAAAGTACACCTTCTCGTTGCCTATTTTTAAAACGAGGTCAATTCAAGAAAATTTAATGCAATCGTAATGATTTTCTTTTTAAACGACGCGTTGAAGTGTCAACTTTGAGAATATGTGTATAGTTTATTAATTAGGAGCTGCATGGGCATAGCCAGGTCATCAGTCCGCAGGGGGCGGGGGGCAAAATTCAATTTTTTTCATCTAGTGTAGTGCAAGAACCACTTTTTCCGTCCAGAGGGGTGGCAAGACCCCCCCTCCCTGCCCCCTGGCAACTCCCATGAGGAGTAGTGATTTGTATTGAAATAAAAATAGCGTTTTCTATTGCAGAAATGACAGATTACATTCTAACCAACTCAATATCTTGTTTCACGACATGAAAATGATAATCGGATTTGTAGCACTATCTGTCCCGACATCATTTTATATTTTCTTTGTAACATTATTTGCAAAATTATCTAACATTTGTAAACAACTGTCGCTTGACACTTAACGTATTAACCCGTTGAAAGCAGAGCCGGGTCATTTCTGACCCATACCGAAATTCCAAATAAACATTTCTTCGAAATGTTTAACCTGTGTTTTAGCATAAAGTTGAAGTCTGGGTCTCGAGCGACTCAAGTTCGTTATTCAAGACGTAAGGCGGTTATTTCTTCGCTTTGCGAATTTAACGATTGAAATATTGGATGAGCTATTGTAAGCGCGTCGCGGTGGCTGATCTGCACGGTCACATTCTACTTAAATGATAATCGCGTGCTAATGATCGTTTGGATACATTTGACGGATTTGAAAAGTTCGAAAAAATAATGTTGAGTTAACCTTTAACTAATGAGGTGAAAATCTTATTACTTATTACACAACTTTGCATTTTCATGTACGAAAACATCCAAATAAACAAGCATCTCTATAAGTATGTAACTATTGAATGAAAATAAAATATTGTTAAGGACTTGTTTATGGCACCTTAAAAGTGTTCCCTTTAAATAAGAACGAATTATATACAACTCCCGCTATCTTGTAATTACCGTAGTTCAATTAATTTTATTTTAAATTTTGATAATTTTTGTTGTCTTTAGTGTTTTAATTAATATTAATCTAAATTTGATATTTTCTACGGCTAGGAATATAATTATTTTTGTTATTCTTATTATTCAGTTGTTTCTTACTAAGTTTTCGTCGCTTCTAGGAGAAGTTATTTATGACTCGACCCAATGGGAAACGTTGTATTTTCGAAAGGTGGAGTTTTATTTTAGAATATATTGGCTTTCCTGATATTCTTTGGTAAGCATGCAGATGTAGGCTGATGTAACAACTTTATCCACTCAGAATGTTTCAAATATCTTCGTAGCCATGTGTGTTTTCTTTCTTTTGTATCTTTTTGAATTCTAAAAATCATTTAGACCGATTCCCATACATACAAAGATCTTGACTCCATTCCATTGGAACAAAGTGGAATTGTCATGCAAAAGAATTAGTTGACAATAATGAAAATTATATGATTAATCAATTTCAATAATTCGTTTCACAACAATCTAACAGAAATTGATATCAAGACTTCTAGAATCACTAAATATATTTTAAATATTTACACATTTAACATTCCACACCAACAAGATTCTTAAATTTTCCACTGTACCTAATAATTACTTTTTCAACTAAACTTGCTATTAAATGTATCATAAACATATTAACCCTATAGAGCACACTTTGAACCTGGGAAGCCTATGCTTAGGCATGAACCGATGCAAGTAAATACAAGTGAATAATGGATACTTTCGTTTCGATACCAAATATTTTTAGTATCGATACTCTTGGTTACGATATATACTTTGTATCAAAAGAAAGTATAAATATCAAATGGAGTACGTAATGGATATAAAAGCTAATGAATACGAAAGTGGTTATCGTCCAGTTATATTACTTCGTTAATAAATGTTCATTAATAAAATACGTCTTTGGTAATAAATATTCATTAATAAAATATACCTTCGTTAAAGTCGGATGTGGGCAGATTCATTATCTAGATAAAGAATTTCGAATAACGAATAAAAGATATAATAATTACTTCGCTATCTTTAATTGTTTAAAAGTGGAGATTCCAATTTATATAACAAAATAATACTTCTTCCTCAAAAAGTCTATATTTGGCAAACAATTATTTAATCTTATGAACTGTTTAATTAATTTTATGTGTAGCACTAATAAGATTTTTGTCCACGTGTGCACTACAGGGTTAACTATATCTGATTATTAGGAAAAACCCGTCAAAGTAGAACTTCCTTCAAATCAAAAGTAAAAGAATTACCATACCAAAGCAATGATTTATCAAATACCTTTACAAACTTTTTTGCAAATCAATACTCCCTACAAAAATTACTAGTATTACCACACACCCTGAACAACCATTTCGAACGTCATGCAATAAAACGATCGTTTTTCTAGTGGCACAGACACGAAACAACGAAAAAGTAAGAATTACCTGCCGAATAGAGGATGCCAGAGTTGCGAGTCATCGGGCGAGCTGGCCGTAGAGCTGACTTCCGGTTCCTGCTTAAGTAATCCGCTTCGCACCCTAAGCAACGGCGGATAAGGACTGGTTCGTCGACTGCTGGACAGATCGATCGGCGCCGGCATTAGCGTGCCGATCGGTTTGCAGCTTAGTTTCGGTCTCGTGTGCGATCCGTTTCTCGCCCCGTTGTTCGCGTGACCGGACCCTTTGTTCGCCCCGATGCTAAGCCTCGGATGGGACTGTCGTGATCTGGATACCGGGCCCTCGCCGTGGTCCAGAACGTGCTGAAGATGAGCCAGTGATATTACCAATAAATCCGGATCCCTCAGTAGATCCGGTCTGGTCAACGCCTCCGGTAGTCTAAGCTCCGGCCTGGAGGCCAGTAATTTCGGGATCTCTGTAGCTGGGGCAGCTGCGAGTCCTGGCAAATAGTCCCTGGGTACCAGAAGAGGATCCGGTATCAAGTGTCCAGAAGCCTCGATCAACTCTCTGAGCTGACTAGCAGGATCGAGAAGCTTATCCGTACTACTTGAGGTCGCTACTTCATCCATCGCGTGTCCACGATGTTTTTCCGTAGATTTTTGATAAATACCCGACTGATTCTTCTGTCTGCCGTTCGACCATTCGGCGGACATTGGCCTCTTTGGCGCGCCACGATCCAACATCAAATAGGTGCTGTGAATGTCACCGCTGGACATCGGTCTGCCGGAGTTTCTCATTTCTTGATTGTGAACGGTCAATCGGTCATGGAAGCTTCTGTTCCCCTTTCGTGCGCCCGACTTCTCGGCATCCCTCGGCTGATCCAGCCGAATGGTATGATGCTCGCTCGGTATCTGATCGCAACGATTCGATATCTCTTTCTGCTTCTCGTAGTTTCTCACCTCCAGCTGGTTAGGGGACGACAGAATACCTTTCAATGTTATATCGTTCTTCGCGTCCTCGGAACAGGACACCGAACACGGGGGACTAGGTAGCAACCTCTCGAGGTACGCGGACGAGGGCCTCCTGGACGCCGGGGAACACGGAATTCCACTCGGCTGCGGGGAAACAACGGTGCCCCGGGTGCGTAGCTCCTCCAGGACTTGCTCGTCGAAGTGTTCTACATCCTGATATTTGCATTTCGCTTGAGCCTCGCTGTTCCTGCTCGAGCTGATCCACTGGGCCTGGTTCTTCGTGCTCTCCAGAGGTGTTCCCCGATCCTCCGGATTCCCCGTGTTCTGCCTGTGAAAGTAGTCGGACTCGTACGCCAACGAGTCGGCCTTCTGTCGCCTCAGATCCTCCAGCACCTGCGAGTCGCAATCATCTTCGATGTCCTCCTCCATGTCCCTTTCGACCTGGTCCTCCTCGTGTGGGAAACCGTCCAATTTCGATTCGTCCGTGTACCCTTCGTTTTTCGTGAAATTCACGGTACTCTCCGGGGACTCGACCCGCGATTTCGTACTCGGAGAAATCGAGTGTGTCGCGGCCGAATGAGGATTTCTATATCGATAGCTCGGTATGATGATGGACAGGCCAGGAAAATTCTTCGGTGGGGACGACGTTCTATGCCTCTCTGTCGCGGAATCTGCGCTTTTCAGCATCCTCTCCGCAGATTCCGCCTGGGAGTCCGGTGATCGGCTCGACGAGGAAGCTTTCGACGATGGTCTGGTCAAGTTTGTCGCGTTGTTCTTCGTACTTTCCGGCGTGTGGTTTCTCGTTATAGAAACCGAAAGACCCGGAGTATTCCTGAGTGCGTTTAGAATTTTTGAACTATCGTTATAGTCTATTTTGATTGGTTCACCGGGCTCGTCTGGTCGCTCGTCCTCAGTTTCTAACTGCGTGTCGTCGTACGTCGTTACCATATTCTGGTATTTTGTACGAGTGTTCGATTTGCACTTCGCACGATTTCCAAGACCACCGTCTGCCTCCGCGACTTTGCACAACTTCGAATCGGAGTTATTCTTTTTGGGAACGATGGTCACATCGTTTCTGATTCGAGGCTTCTTCTCTCTGTCGCTCTGGACACCATGGTTCGGAATTTTCTCGTCGTGTATCTCGATTCTATCATCGACAGGATCATCACGGATTTTATCGGTGTCTTCGCGCTGATAGCTGGACATCGAGCTTCTCATCGACTGTTCGGTCATTTTGCTCGATAATTCCAGTAATCTAGAATTCGAATCTCTGATCTTTCCGTCGGAGGATTTACCATGAAGATTCTCGCCGAGTATCTCGTATGTTTTCGTGGAGTCGACAGGCAGATCGGCGCTAGGGGTATCAGTAGCTAGAACTGGCGAAGCGGTCGCATCTATCATATTCAGTATGTCTTGAATGTCCGCCTTGTTAATGTGTCGTCTTTTTTCGCAATCTACCGCCGCCTTCTTCTCAACGGCAATAACATCATCCTCGTTTTGCCCCTTCTTGTCGTTTCCTTGACTCTGAAGGACATTCTGATGAACGCCCTCGGGCAATTGAGAAAAGTGTAGCTGTTCCAGCACCACTCGCGGCTGCAGTAACTTGTCCTTCTGCAGCCTTTCGAGCTTACTTCTCCCGTTGCCCCTAGCCAGCTCTTTCTCGAATCTATTCTCCTCTTCCGCCCCTTCGTCGTCGTCGTCTTCTTCGTCGTCATCGTCCTCATCCTCCTCGTCGTCGTCATCACCCTCCTCATCGTCGTCGTCTGAACACGGCACCCTTCGTCGTTCTTCGTCCCAAGTCGCTTTTGTTCTCGCGTTATTTCTCAAATTGTCCAACGGATACCCGTAATCCCGTCGATGCTCGGTAGTTCGATTAATCTCATCGTAACTCCTCTTCGTTCCAACACCGTCCTTGGTGACCAAACCATTGGTCCGTCCATTTGTCAACTCTTTCGTAGAGATATGTTGAAGATTCATCGTCGCTTCCTTCCCGATCTCCTTCTCGTCGCTCCTGTCGGTGGTGTTCGATGTGTCGGTGCAGCTCGTCTTTTGGGAGGTGACCCCCAAGCTCGTCGAGTACATGTTCGAGGCTGTCCTCGGTATCGAACGCCATCCCTGCGCCGTCTTCGTCAGCTTGATACGATTCCTCTTGTCGTAATCCTCGCATCGCACCTCGACGATCCTCTGTTCCCTCTGCGAGGCCCTCCGCTCTTCGTCTCTGAGCTGCTGCTTTTGGTGTTTCTGATGGTGGTGGTGGTGGTGATGATGGTGATGATGATGACGTCTTTGACGACGGGGCGCTATGCCCCGTGCAGGGGCCCCGCTCATCACTCCATCCAACGAGCTGTTATTACTCTGCCACTCGTCCACTGAGACGACTTCTTCTGCCAACGAACCTCACCTTTCTTCCAGTTGTTCGGTATAATTACTATCAACTTGTCAAGGAACGAGTACCGCGCGGAATACGATCTTCGAGTATATTCTAAAAGCCTAAGAGAGTACACTCTGCGTGATTCCAAACGGACAGTCTCCTAAAATCGCGATTACATTCTCCGCTCAGCGATGATATTCTACTGGCACATGGCTTCATCGACTAAGTAATTAGCTCACGGGTGGGTTCGAACTCACACCACCACCCCCTTAGCCGGTCTCGATTCACCCCGAAGTCAATTTCTCACCGTCCATTAACAAACAAGTCAGTTTCGAGCAAGCAACGATCGATCTCGAGGGCATTGACATTGTCGACCGAACACTTCCGCGAGCTAGATGCACCGGACACATAAGCCACGCTCTCTCTCTCTCTCTCTCTCTCTCACTCTTTCTCTCTCTTTCTCTTTCTCTCGTCGACCGCGGAATTCTTTCTTGCCTTATCTTCCGCGCGCAAGGGAACCCCGGCACGAGTTACACGAGTTCGTCGACACTGATCGAAGAGAGGCTCGTGGTTCCGGCGAGGATAATTCTGTTGGTCGCCAAGGTGGTTCGCTGATACCGGAGGTCGTCGACGTTCATCTATCGAACCCTGACACAGCACGAACAGACGGCGGGAACAACAACCGGAAGATCACCAGGGTCGTCGATTTTCAACGGGGCATCCACAACACGTCGATTTGCATCAAGCTTGCGGCGTCGACTCCGTCGAGCTTACGGCTGGCAGCACTGAGTGTGGTTCGACCCATCGAGCTTCTCTCGAACGGTACGCGCTTCTCTCTCTCGCTCTCCACTCCCGTGGTTTCCACTGTATTTCACCTTTTCACGGTGTTGATAGTAACGGCCACGTTCTATACATGAGACACAAGTTTCTCCCTTAGATTCTTTTAAGTCCTTACTGACGATGACCCCTCGGAAATTATTTGTTTTCGGTGAAGTTTACTTGTAGGATATTACCGTGATTTACGTATATATTTTTCCACCGTAATGAACACTGTTTATCACTGACCTTGCGTCAACCGTTGACTTTGGAACCGTGAACGTCGAAGAATTGTCACCGATGACATAACACCGCCGAGATCAATCCGCCAGTTACATGTCGTTACGCGCGGAGTCACTGTCTGGGAGCTACTGTCGGTACCTCCTAGTTGCCTTCCACTTCGTCGCCGCCGCCCCCGCTCCCCAGAATCGCGGAGCCAGGGTCGGAACTATCCGCGGCGCCCTCGTTCCAACCGCTCTCCTCGTCGGTCGCCGGCTGAAAACAATTGTAATTCTGTTTTTCGTTCCTTTCTAAATTCTGTTTGCTTGTAGGAATTTTATATTTTATCGCAAGACACGTATGTGGGGTACATAACGTGAATACTAAAAACTATATTTTATTAATATTGTACTTATTATACGTTTTTAGTAAGAAAGTTTTTTCAAATGAAAGATTCTTTGTACCAGTGTCAATTAGTATTAACAATGTAAGTAATGCTTTTTGAGAGTTCGTATTTGATGAATTTTTTCATTCACATTACACTGTTTTTCATATTCCTGCACCCTTTTAGTAAGAAAGTTTCTTCAAATAAAAGTATTTGTATATTATTGTTAATTACTGTCAATATTGCAAGTAATGCTTTCTGAGAGGTCTGATTTGACGAATTTTTGTTATGCTGGCATTAATTGATTAACAGTTAATGTATAAGTATAGAATATGAATATTTAAGTATAGAATATTCTAAATTCTTATCGAATCAGCTTACTTTTTTCCTGTATATTTGTTATCACGAAAGTGTCTACACAATACAGAATTACATAGATTGCATCTGTGAAACTTTCAGTAAATAAAATTTATACTAAAGAAAAATAAGAGATCAATAATTTCAGTTGGCGATTATGTAATTTTCCTGTACGGCAAGGCCATTTCATACTCTACTGCAATTATTAAAATAAGAAACACAATATAATTATTTTTACTACCGTATTTTATTATTTCTAATGTAATATTTTACAGAACCGTACACGAAGGAAAGATACTATTTCATGCTGAAAATCCTGCATGATCGCCAACGGGTGTACGCGACATACGCCAGATGCTCGCTAATTAAGTATTAAAATTTAATGGATGTGTGTTCGACTGCTCTAGTAGCTGACGATTCTTTCATTTAATTAACAATCCCCCTTTGCTATGTATAATTTAAAAATAATTTTTTCGTTGCAGAATGAACTTGTAATATTACATAAAGTTTTTAAACTGATTCAAGAACTTTTGAAACGATTGTGAAGATCAATAACTGATTAGGAATAATGCTTCAGATTCTAATTCGAAAAGAGCAATACTTTTTAACATTAAATCAAAGTACTTAAATTTGAGCAATAAATAGAAATCTGAATATTTAAATAATATTAGAATATAGAAATTCGGTTTATAGAAATATTTGAAATAGTTTAGAAATCCATTTTGTAAGGAAAGAAATAAAGAAAATTAATGAAAACTCTAAAGTATAATATAGTTACTCACAATAACAACTATTATCAAATTATATTGTATTGTAAACATATAAACAAAATTGAAATTTTAAAGAATTATATTAAGAATTATTTTATTTTAAATGTAACATGTGCTCAAATTTCATACTTCGAAGTTAAAATATAAAATCCCGCCATTAACAGTGCAATGAAAGGCTCCTGGCGATAAATTACGTTTGATATTCAGTTCTTCCATGTAATTCCGGCATAATAATAGACATTGTAATTTTATGCCTTGTAACTGCATTATACGAGCTTATTTATGCATACAGAGTGGATAAATGCGTCCCAGGTTATTTATAAATTGTGTTTCCACAAATTCAACGCTAGACTTAGTTTTTGAAGTTTTTCAAGTAAAAGACAATTCAACAACGAAGTATTGAATATCCACTACCAACTATCGATTTCCAGAAACAGAATTTACTTCCATTAAGACCCCTATTTAAATATCCAACGTCTGTTTGTCTAAACAATATATTATAATTTTTAAATATATCCATAATATCGGACACCAAAATCTACCACGACGTATTTATTACAAATTCTTCTAGAAACTGCTTTCTGCCATTTCAAACCTTCGGAACAGAAAAATCAATATATCAGTAACAATCTTGATAACTTATACCTGACGGCAGTACTTTTTACTGGAATATTAAAATATAATATAAAATTTTTACATTGACCGTTCATAATTTATTCCAAATTCTTCCGAAGATTTCACTCTTCCATTTCACCCTTTGGAACGAAAAAACCAAAATGTGAGTAACAATCGCGACAGCTTATACCTTACTGGAATACCTTCAATTGGAGTATTAAAATATCATATAATACCTTTACATTGGCTGTAAATAATTTATTACAAATTCTTCCGCGGATTTCTCTCTCCCATTTCAACCCTTTGGAACAGAAAAATCAATGTACAAGTAACCATGGTGTTAGCTTACACCTGACTGCAATACTTTTTACTGGAATATTAACATATAATATAACATTTTTACATTTGCTGTCCATAATTTATTATAAATTCTTCCAGAGGTTTCACTCTCTCGTTTCACCCTTCGGAACAAAAAAATCAACGTGCAAGCAACAATCGTGATAGCCCATAAGGAACATTAAAAAATAATATAATATCTTTACGATTGCTTGTTCCCAATTTCGAAATAAATCGCGTAGAAACAGGGCGATAATGTGAACCGCGCCGTCACTGTCGCGTTCTTACCCCTCACCCCGTGATAGCCAGCTCGCGGCCGGAGCACCGACCATGGAAAGAGACGGACCGACACGACCGACGAGGACGAACAGGGAGTAAGAGAATGGGATAACCTGTGTGCATATACCGGTATACAGAGTGTACCCGAAGGTAACTTCGATTGCAATGGTATCAACGACTTTACCAGCATTAAAACGGGGCGAATTCGACCGATTTAGCCGCGCCTTATTAACGACCTTTTCCTCTAACCAAACGTTGCTCACACTCTGAACCGCCACATAAAATCGCAACTTTTTTGACTGCAATATCCCCCTGTACCGATCGAATTCTTAATTAATACCGTAAACATTTGTACATCGACTATTTTTGGTATGGAACGTGATACGTACACTGACAATATGACGTGCCTCGATTGTTCAGAAACCCCTTGTTTAATTCCGATTTGGGTAATATTATTATTACTATTATTTTCTGTCGAACGATCGCTCGAGACGGTAGAGGGAAAAAAGGATGTCGGTATTTTCTGGCCAAGAGAGATTTACCCGTGTCCCCGACGGGGAACTAGTTTTCGATAAACGAGCACCTCCTCGTTAAGTGGCTCCGCGAAGGGGGCCGAAATCGTAGTCACCCTATAGTCCCCGGTGTGCGAGGGACAGAGAGGATCGATTCAGGGTGCGACCGAGAGGACACGAGAGCCGCGGCCAAGGGAACGTGGGAAAGAGAGAGTGAGAGAGAAAGAGAAAGAGAGATATACACACGGCGCAGTACACCGTGTCGGATGCTGATGCTGCATTAAGCCCCGTTTGCACTTCCGCCCTTCCATCCGCGGGGCTTCGATCCTTCGGTCGCTGTTCCCTATGCCATGTCACGAATTGCTTCGAATTATTTCGATATCGTATTGAGCCAATTCGTAACTTTGTTCGCGTTTTTTCCACTGCACGGATATCGAATAATCTGCTTTCAGTTTGTGAACTGTGTATTACCCCTCGTTTGCATCAGGGGCAAAAGTTATTTCGAATAACGAATACATTAAAATTATTCTGTATGTTTTTACTTGTTATTCGAAATTTTCAAATAAAAAAATTGTTGTTTTTAATGAATTTTATGCAAATTTTATTTAAGTAGCACTCTTTTCCAAAAAAAAAACCATCAAAAATCTCGTGGAAGCGTGGTCGATTAACCGTAGTAGCGTTGGCGAAAAGTCTCTCACCGGTGCTATATTCGAATAACGAATAATTTTGATTTATTCGTTACTCGCGAAGAACAACCAACTAGTTTATTCACTCCAAAGGAGAAGCTAGC